GTAAGGAGGGAGGCGGAGGCGGGCTGAGCTCACACACAGCTTTACACCGTTACTCGCTTTTTCCACCATCTAAGCACAAACTCACCGCCGGCCTCAGGCGCCGGCCCCCCAGGCGGAGGGGAACCCCGGGGCTGTCCCCACCACAGGGAGGGTAAACCCGAAGGCCGCTCCCCCTCCACCACAGATCCCATCAAAATCTTCTTTTTTTTTGTTTTTTTTTAACGTCCTCATATCCCCAGCCCTAAGGGCAGGGCCTGCGGGTAGTTAAAACGTGACCTAACGCCAAGTGAGGTTAAAAAAAAAAATCATCTAAGTGAGCAAAGTTGGGAGACGGAGCGGAGAGACGCCCCCGCCGGGCACGGGTATCTCCGTGAATAAATATGGCCATCGCCCTCCTCCCTCTGCGGGTAGCGGTTACAAAAATACTCTCTCTAGAGGCGTAGGGGGGGGCGTTAATGGGACGTCAGCGCTCAGGGAGGGAGCGGGTGACGGGTTAATGTGCTTTTAGGGGAGGGAGACGCCGCGGGAGGCGCTTCCCTGCTGGTGATTCACTGCGGTAAGGACCTCGCAGGAACCCATCGCTTCCCGCGAGCCTCGGCCCTCCGATTAGTCATCGTTTTCCTCCAAAAGGCTGAATCCGACCGGATCATAAAGCGGCTTTTCCAGAACAAATCCTCTCATAAAGGCATTCATCCAGGGGAACGTATTTTCCCAACTTTAGATCCAGAAAATACAAGCGATCTGAGGTTTGGTGGGGGTCGAATCCTTCCCTCTGTAAGCGGGTTTTCTGAATCTTAAACGTACCTTCAAAAAGAGAAAACAAAACATTAAGAATACTTGGCGTCAGAAAGCCCGCTTCAGCATCAGAGCGAGGAGGAAGCGTCACGGGTGGCGTTTCATTTCTACCTCACGGTTTTGCCTAAGAATTTTAGCAACTCGAAGCTCGTTAACTCTCCCCATCGTTACCGGAGTTCTGACATAAACCTCGCGCAATTTTTTTTTTTTTTTTTTCTTTTTTTTTTTTGCTCCTCCTCAGGCCCGGGCTGGTGAAAGGACCCGGTAAAATTCCTGGGAAACCGAAAACAGAAAACGCAGCAGCCGAAGAGGGGCCGCCTTGGCCCCTTTAGTCGTGCTGGAACAGAGCCCCGGGAAGGGCAACGGACAGCGTACGAGAGAGTTCGAGGGCAGACGTTCCTGTAGGGAGAGACCTTTTCCGTAAGGGCCTGGAACTACCTGGTTTCTTGTTTAAGACTTAACTACAATCACCGTTTGTTACTAGCGGTACTTCCGCGCCTGCCGTACTCGGGGGGTTGGGGTGTTATTTCGCCCTGAAGGAGGGGGAAACGCTTCCGAGCTCCTTTCGGGATCTGACCTTCCCCGGAGAGCAGCCGGATCCCCGATACCTGTGGTGTCAACCTGGGGTAGGAGCCGGAGAAAGACGGGCCGGGCGTAGGAAGGCAACACCTTCTGCAGCTCCCGGTACAGGACGTTGGGGTTGACTTTAGCTTTGGGATCCGCGATCGCCGCCATCCCGGCTTTGCCCTCCACCCCTGAAACAGAAGAGCGCAGCTGGGGCGGAGACGGCGGAAGCACGCAACGTTTAACGGATGCAAGCGCGGGTATTTCCTCCCGTGCCTCTTCAAGGCGAAGCGCAAACGCGCCGAGGAGAACCCAGCCCAACCCCAGAGGCTCCCAGTCCGCTGCCAACGCGTTCCCCTCACCGCTAACCCGATTCCGGTTTTCATCGGGTTTCTCTCACATACGCCCTGACAAAAATTCAGGGCAAAGTGCCACGACGGGCGCCTTTCCGGCCAACGCGCGCGCGACCGCTCGGTTCCCGTCCTTGTGCCCCCCCCTCAGCGCCCCCCCTTCCTGGATTACTTGAAGATCTAAGGGCTGGCACGCACCCCAAGAGCTTCTGCAAAGCTCGCGTCGTAAAAACCTTCCTTTTTAAGACGCAAAGAGAGATTCCGCTACTGGATCTCCTTATTTCTGCTGCTCAGAATAAGGGCGTCAAACTCCGCCGCCTGACTCTGTCATCCCTTTTCATTTTTGGGGTGCCTGGTTACAATAGAGGCGACCGATTTCTACCCGTTCGGACACAGATCTGGTACGTTTGCCCAATATTTGCCTTTCTCCCTAAATCCCGAGAGCTCCGACTCGACGTTTTACCTGGCACTTCCACTCCGTACACTGCAACGTCCGTCTGGTTGAGGATGTGACTCAACGTCCCTTCCACCTCCGTGGTAGAGACGTTCTCTCCTCGCCATCGGAAGGTGTCCCCGCTGCGATCTTTGAAGTACATGTAACCGAGTTCGTCCATCACCAACACATCTCCTGGGAGGGGGAGAGGAGACATCAAAAACCACCCCAGGACTCAAGTTCGTTAGCGCCCGGGACTGCCTTAAGGCCCTCTCGCCCAGCGCCGCGCTGTTTTCTCCCCAGGGAAGCGCAGAACTGCCTCGGTGACTTCCCACCACCGTGCGCCGCATCTCCTCGTTACGGGAGACGGGCAGCAGCAGGAAAAGGACGGGGAAAAGAATCTCTCCCTCTTTGAAATGTCAATTTTTATTTATTTTTTTTTTTTTTTAATTAAATGCAGAGCAGCTCAACAGCCGGCAACTGCAAAACGCCAACACACCTGTTCGTAGAATCACTTAGGTTGGAGAAGACCTTTAAGATCATCGATTCCTCTCAATTTTCCTCTCAAATTTCCTTCTCAATGTTTTTCCCCTCTCAAAACCCCCCCAGATTTAGGTCTCTCGAGACCACCTTCGCACGAGGAACGTCTGCAGTCCGTACCGACAGTACCTGAAAGGTACGCCTGGTCCCCTTTCCGAAGCACGTTGTAAGCGATCTTCTTGTTGGTGGCGCTCTCGCTGACGTAGCCGTCGAACCGACGCAGGGGATCCTGTTGATTTATCTGACCGACGAGCAACCCCGGCTCTCCTGCAGGAAAACGGGATCAACGCAAGATGACGCCGACACTTCACGACGAGCTCGGCTTTGTGCCCGCCAAAAAGACGTTCAGTTGCTGAACTGATCCATCTTTGGAGGAGAGGACCGGAAGGGAAAACCCTCTACACGGCACTAGAAACCCCGTAAACCAGCCAGAGCTTATTAGATACGTATTTGGTTTAGGACAAAAAGGTGCCATCGATTTGTTCGGGTTAACGCTCACCTGGGCGACAGGGGATACACAGCCCACCGGAATCCCGGATCAGCTCCATCGTGTCCTCGTTCACCTTCACCAAGCGAATGGGATAAACGCCGGGCAAAATCCGACTGTTGAAGCCACAGGCGCCGACCTTCCAAAGGACAGGGAGAAAGAAAAACAAACCAACAAACCCCAAAGGGCTGAAGAGAACGGCTTGGGTTTTGCGCTACCGCTTTCCGGGAATTCTCTGATCTTTCCTCCCTTTCCATTTAACTGGCAAATTCACCCCAAAACGTAAAGGTTCCCCCCCCCCCCCCGCCCTTTGTCACGCCACCCCTCGTTACCAATCTAGCTCCCTGCCATCCCCTTGCGAGAGGACTCGGAGGAGTCAGAGAAGCCAGCAGCGCTTTCTCTCCTTCCCGCGCGCCCCTCCCAGCCCCCGCGGTACCCTCTTCCTCCTCACCTTCCCGTCCAAGTTGGCAATGCTGCAGTTGCACTCCGTGGCTCCGTAGAACTCGCCGACCTGCTTAATTCGGAAGCGCTTTGTGAAGTCCTCCCATATGGTGGGTCTCAAACCATTGCCCACCGCCAGCCGCACGCAGTGTTGGGTTTCTGACTCTCGGACCGGCTGGTTCAGAAGATACCTGCAGATTTCCCCGATATACTGAATAATCTGAAGCAGTAAACACAAAAACATAGCTCAGGCTTCAGGTTACCCTTACAACGCCCCGGAAAAAGCCGACCACGAGGCCACCGGTGTCAGCGCACCTCGTGGAGCTAGACACGTCAGGCATTTTAATAAACTCCGAGGTTTTGCAAGTTCAAGTTGGGATTTCTCGCCACAAAAAAAAACAAAACCCAAACCAGGCAAAAGTAAAACAGTTATTGCCCTCCGGAACCCGCCCCAGGCGAAGGTAAAACAGTTATTGCCCTCCGGAACCCGCGGGTTAGCACCAGAAAAGAGCACAGGAGGGATCCCTCAGCGTGGCTGGAGATACTCGCATAAAGAAAAACCCTCGTGCTTTACTAGGTGACTGAGAGACCTCTAGAAAGGTTAGGGGAACGAGCCGTCGACCATGAACCAACGGAGCCGGAGCGGAGATCCAATTACCGGCTATAAATACTGCTGGTGGGGGAAGGGCAAGACAAACACCAGGCAGGAGAAAGGGCTGCTTAAATTAGAAGGTAACGTTGACATAAACCCAAAAAGATGTTTATTGGCTGTGAACTGCCAAGGGAATGCCTCTGCAGAGATTCCTAACGCGGATGAATTCTGGCAGAGCTTTCCTGCAACAGTAAGGGATGGAAACTTGCGTTTTAAAAGCTGGTCTCGACAACCTTACAAAGAGGAAGCAGGAGAAGACGGATGAAAGACCTTTTCTAAAGCCCTGCACGCCTAAAGCGGCACTGGCAATTGGAAAACGCCACGGCGCAGGCACCTCGATACCCGACAAGGGACGGGGAGTTATCTGGAGATCAATAATTAGGCGGTGAACCTGGCGCTCTCGAGTTGAGCACCGAAGATAGCGACCGCCGGGCCCTCACCGTGCATCTGTATTTCACGCAGTCGTCCCAGAAGCGACTGGCCGAGAACTTCTTCCTGATCACCACGGTGAGGCCGTGGATTAGACACTGGCCAACTCCCATGATGTTACCTGGAAAACAAGGATCACGGGGATAGCTCCGACCGCCCTGGGTCCGTTCACTCACAAGGGACACGCGAAGGAGCAGGCACAGGGGGGTGGCCGACGCCTCACCTCCGCCCCCGAGAAGGAGGAGGCTTACCTGCAGAATGATAGAGCGGGAGGCAGTTGTAGAGGACGTCCTCCGGGCACATTTTGTAGGCGTAGTAACCGAAGGCAGCGATGCGGTAGTACCTGCGAGAACCGAGCGCACGCTAAGCGAGCGAGACGGGTAAAGCTTGGGGTTTGGCGACGTGAAACGCGCCTCAAGAGGGAGGTGCCTCCTCGGGTCCTCACCTGCTGTGCACCACAATGGCAGCTTTGGGCATTCCCGTCGTTCCTGACGTGTAGATATAGAAGAGCCGATCTAGAGGAATGGAAACAGGCGTCAGGCAGACCATTCTCAACTGCCTGAGAAAGTCCCCGCAGGGTTTGTTTTGTGTTTTAGGCTTCGTTCCCAGCGGCTGAGGAACGGCTTCGAAATGGTGACAGCACAGGGGACAGCGAGCTGCGAAGGCCGACTCCACAAACGTGGAGTTGCAGCCCGACGGAGAATCTGCGTGTTGACCGTAACGGTAAACACAGGAACAGCGTAACGAAGAGCTTGCAGAGCTCCGAGGACACGACCTGTGTACCTTTACGCAAATTGTCCTGGGACTAGATTAGCTCTCCAGGTCAGACATTAATTCCAAATCGATCGAGAAGAAAGGTCTCAACCTGCGCCTGACGGTAGGGCAGGTATCTATAGCTCTACGATTAAAAAAATATAATCTAAAGGAAAAGCCTCTTAGCAGCATCGTTCCTCCTACTGTAAGCAAAGTACCAAAACGGAGTCTCACGCCTCAGGGATCTCAGATACGCTCAGTTGTCTTAAAGCACGAAATACAGACTGGAGGCCAGTCAGCATCTTCCTTTCTCTCTCTCCTGAATCCCAAACCCACCAACACTCATCCCGGCCGCAGGCAAGGAAAGACTTTAATTACACCCGAGTCAGCTGCGGGGGAAGGTAAAATGGGCCGTTACACGCTACAGAGGGATCAGACGGACTCGCGGAGCTAGGGAAGCACGGGGTAAGTCCCGGCAGGCCAGCTGCTTCACCCCACAGGCATTCCAGGGGCTATGCTCCTGTAACGGAAGAGTTGTCCTTGGGAAGGCACCAGTCTCCCTCCCTCAGGTACTAAACGCGTTAGTCAGGTAAAGCTCGGGAGTCTCAGACAATGAGAAACTTAACCCAGAGTACCCTGGAACCAGGACTTCCCCCCCCCCCCCCCCTTCTTCTCCCCCCTCCTTTCTTCTATTTGTGAGCCCAAACTGGGTTGATTTAATCCCTCCACCTTGCTTGGTTTTCTCGTTTTGCTGTCACCTAGCCCAGCTCTCGCACACATCGCGGTGAGAAACAAAAGTCGTCGCTAAAATTACCATCTAAACCTTTGGCTGGAATCTGAGTCGGGAGCGATCTCGGTGCGGTACTCAGAAGAGGATCAAGATGTCTGGTCTCCACAGGAACGACATTCGGGTTATAGTCGCCGGAGCAGAACTTTGCCATGTTCTTCCCCAACATCCCATTCACTTCCGATATTGCTGCAAGACAAAGCAAGTCGCTTTTGCAACAAACACAACGCTCTAGGCAGCGGCAAAAATAACCTGTGAAACATCCTGTTGTGCCCCAAACCCACGGAAGGACCTGAAGAACGGCTTTAAACTAAACGGGGGTAGATTTAGACTAGATAGAAGGAAGAAATTGTTTACGCTGAGGGTGGTGAAACACTGGAAGAGGTTGCCCAGAGAGGTGGGGGATGCCCCATCCCTGGAAACATTCCAGGTCAGGCTGGACGGGGCTCTGAGCAACCTGATCTAGTTGAAGATGTCCCTGCCCGCGGCAGGGGGTTGGACTAGATGACCTTTAGAGGTCCCCTCCAACCCAAACCGTTCTGTGATTCTAAGAACCAGGGACTCCTTTAAGATACTTACGTCACACCCGTCCAGATAACACCCGCATCAGTGCGGTCAGACTGACCTGGGTCCAGCAAAAACCCTAACAAAAAAGCCAAACCTACACCAAATTGCCTCTCCCCGTGACCCACCACGCCATGGTCTTCAAATGATCTGCAGTGGTTTCAAGGAGATGATTCAGAATAATAAACCACCAGATCTAAAAATAACCGTCGGAACAGGGTTCATTGGAGAAGCGGGGATGCATTTAAAACCAGCATCCACTGAGGAACCTATCCTGCGGCCGAAAGCACGGCATTAAGCAAGGAGTATTCACAGAGGGAAAAGAGAAAAACAAGCCCTGCGGCAGGAAAACACGCCTTGCGGCACGTATCGCCGCTTCTCGACGAAGCGCAAGGCTCCCCATGCAGCGCCTCCAGATCCAACGAAACAAAGGCAAATCAGCGAGCCCCGTCTGGGCACCACGAAACCAGGAAGACGCCGGCAGATGAAACCGAGCTACCGACCGCTCTACTCAAAACACCGCTCCTCTTTTAGCCTCAGATACTAACTGAGCCCTTCTGCCTTTTGTAATCAGGAGATTTGCCATCTCCCCTAGCTTTTAATACGGCCAGCTGCCGTTTTGGTTTTAGTTTACTCGATCTCTGCCTTGTTCAGGCCCAAGCGAACAGCTCACGAGCTGCCCGTAAGGCGTACGAACGCCCAGGTGAGTCACCTGAAGACAGCTCCCCTCCGAAGATCACGGCTTTCGCACCCGAAGTCGTCACGCAGTAAACCAGAGAATCCAAGCGCAAATTGAAGTTGATCAGAGCCGCTTCAATGCCGATTTTTGCCATCCCTAGCCAGAGGCCAACGAACTCGGGGCGGCTCTCCATGAAGATGGCGATGACGTCCCCCAGCCGGAAGCCTTGCTGGTAGAAGTAGTTAGCCACGGCGTTGGAGTACTCATCCAGCCTCCTGAAGGTCCACTGCTCACCAGTGGCTTCGTAAATCAGGGCCACTTTGTCGGGGTGCCTGCGGACAACATCCTGGAACATCTTGGGGATGGTGCTTTTGGCTTTTTGATGCCTTCGCAACTTGTACTTGACTCGTAACAGCACCGAGAGGCCGCTGCAGCAAAGAAAGAGCGTAACAAGTTAATTTTCAGCACAATTTCCGAATCAGAAGGGACGTGGGCAGGAGACACGTGCTCCACGTGAGCGTCCCGCTGGCATCCCCCTGTCCTTGGACAGCTGAAGCGTTACCCTGAAACTGGAACTTGGAATCACTGCTGCTCTACAGAAAGCGACGGCTGTTTTAACGTTATGGCAAAGAAACGGCCTACAGCAACTGTTCCGGTACTTTCCACGCTATAAACCACAGGGAATCCCATCTTCACATTGATAGCAATTCAAACAGGCCCACAGAACACATTAAAGAGGGCAGATTACATCTTTTAACGACGTCTTCTGCCGTCCTAAAAAGAAGGACTTTGCAACCACTGCTTTTACCCAGAAAAGAAGCAAAACGTACTTCAACGTGGGAAGCGTCTTTCTTGCCGGGACATTTTGCAGCATCTTTGTGCCATTTCACACAATTGCACCCCTCAGGATCCAAAAGCATTTAAACGAGAGAGACAACCCGACCCTTTGACAAGAGCGCGTGGCCTCGGCTTCAAGAAAACAAAGCCAAAGGCTTCCCCCTTTCACCCGCGAGACGAGAGGACTGCCGGCGTGCTGCTCGCAGGCGCGTTTTCCCGTGAGTCAGTCTCTGCCGCAGTCCTGGGACGATAGGAAGCGAGGCTATCTAAATACTACCAGGCCGAAGCCATAGATTTTAATAGTAATTAATAAATAATAACAATAATTCTTGGACAGCAAGCTCCTTTAAAGATGGTGGTGCCTTATGAAGAAAAGAATTGCCGCCTCTGTGGGTATTTGATACCACGAAGAGCAACTACTCGATAAAAGAACAAACCAGACTGCTCTAACGGGGCTTTTTTCTTTTTTTTTTGCCTTCTGTAACATACATAATTATTTTAAGTCTCCAAGGCAGCAGCTGCAAGTTAAACCTCGACACGGTTCAAGCTTGATGGCAGCAAAAGTTGGTGTCTGAACTTCAACTGTCTCACGTTGTCCCGGAGGAAGCTATCTTTAGAGGCGCGTTGGCTCTCTTGCTTTGGCTATCAGTTAGATACAAAAATAAATTCAATGAAGTACACTACCATAACGCCACCACCAAAACGAGGACAGCAGGTCTGGGTGCGCGAAATGGATCCCGTTTCCCTCCCAGAGGTAGGAAGATGGAGGCGGTATTTTTCCACCATTAAAATAGGAAATTGTTGCACAACAAGGGTTTGGAAGAATCCCCAGAAACTTGAAAGGTCATTTAATATTAGCACTTAAAAACCCCCGCAACTCTCACGACTGAACGTCAAGAGCAGGAGCCTCGCTCAGCAAAGCCTCGCAGAAGGGGGAAGGGTGCGCTTCAGAGACAAGTTGTTGGCAACGGTCAGGCCGAGCTGGGCTTTCACGGTGACCTTACACCGCGCCGTGCCAAACGCAGAACAGAGGAGCCTTTTCACTGCTGAGCTGCACTTTCCAGATACTTAAAGGGCTTTATTCTGCCCAGTTTATTTTCTGTCATTATTCCCAGCTTGCCGGGCAATCGGGAGGAAACAGCCCTTCAAAGTGCAGTGACAGCCACGGCGAAGCTGGCAATCGCAGCAGCCCTAAATCCTCTGGAAATAAAGGCACATCCTCACGGAGGCCTAAAAACCGCCGAACTAAATGCGACGGCCTCCCAGGAGATGGGGAAGCTGCTGGAGACTTACCGCTCTTGACGCCGCGAGCCCCTAGTTCGGACTAGGCATTTTAAGATGGATCTACCCTCTTTTTAAGCTCAGGGGGTGTAGCGGCAGGCATCACCCCGCGACTCCTTCCACGGGTGAACCGCGGCGTGCGTCCCGCGAGCGTCCCGCAGCCGTTCGCTCGCTCCCTTTGAGGCCGAGCCTTTCCAACCGCCCCCTGCGCGCCGGCAGGGCGGACGGGGCCGCTGGCCGCG